CGATTGCTTCCGATCTTGAAAATGGTTTGAAACTCCGGTTCAGCCCAGAAAAGTGCTTTGTTAGACAGACCATGTCTTCCCTGTGAACCCCCAAACCCAATGGACCAGAGCCACTAATGTATGAAAGCACGCTCCATCTCCTCCAGGTCAAAGGGGAAATATCATGTGCTGCTGATCACAACTGGAGTATATCTATCCAGGAGGATGATATGACATATAAAACCCCAACTTTATCCTGTTTTTTATGTGGAGAAATAAAAGTTTGTCTGCTTTGACCTCCTCCTTACTTCTGATTTATTATAAAAGAAGATAATATAAAATATCTGGGGGAAAAGTGGATTTACAGCTCAATTACAAGATCTATGGAAAGATGAGAGGCTTTGCTGCATGAGGAAGACTGGCAGAGATTTAAAGCTTGAAATTTACCATTGTTCTTTATTGTAACTTTCACTCCAAATGCCAATTGTCATGAAATAACCACATGTGCTTTGTCACTGCTTAAGGCTTACAAGCATTTCGTCTCGTGTTTGAAGCAATAGTTTAGCTAATGAATTTTTGAGAGCTGAGAGAGTGAACTGTGACAAACGCGTGTTGTGTCACTTGCAAAGGGAGGGATCCGGCCAGACTAAACCACCAGTCCCTTGCAGCAGGTTTCTTTGAGGCCCCGACCGTGCAGTCTTTGGGCCCTCCGACTTTTATTCTAGGATGATGAGCACATTGTTCTGGAGCCAGGAGATCTGTTTCCACCTTTCTCACCTCCACCCTCCCCGAGAGGAGAAGTGAAGAAGGGACCTCAGAATCCTCAGCTATATCGTCTCTTCCGTGTCTTGAAGACCCCAATAACTGATAATGTCAGGTAGGTTAAAGACTGTGCACGACACCTGCACAGCTTGTCTTGGTCCTTGCTGCTGCCTTGTGTCAGAAAAGAATAAGATTTTACCAGTCCAGGACAGGGATTTTCAAATATACTGTGGTGTGCCTTCTCTATTACTGGGGAAGGCTAGAGCTGTCTTCACTTGCCCTCCATAGCTGGTAGGTCAGGCTGATACATAAAGATATGCTCAATAGTTCTGTTTAGCTCATTACCTTCTACCTCAATTTGAACAATGGTGGGGAGGTCACAGGTTTCATGTATTTGATGGCTAGAAGTATTGTGTGACCCCAGGTGAGATTGTTTTAAATCTATATCAAACATTGAGACTGAGGACAGAGATTTATTCACAGTTCTCCTGTCAGGGGCATCTTCTGTAACTCAAAGGCCAGGACTGTGGCTCTGTAGAGAAAAATAATCTGGAAGGATAGCTTTTCCCTTTTGAAAGTGCTGCTGCTTTAAGGAGTGGGTCTTGTTGGGAAATGCTAGTTCTGGTAGCAAACAAACAAGGAATGAGCTGTGCAGGGCTCTGAGGCACAGTTATACAATCACTGTATCCCTTTCAGTAGGAATGAAAAACGCATTTTTGGAAAACAAGAGGAAGATGTTGTCTTTTTTAAAAACTATTGAATCTTCAGCTGTGAATAGTTAGGACCATAAATGGCCTCCACAGAGGGTAATGAACTTCCCTTTGGAGTGTATGTAATCAGTGACATGACACCCTTTTGTCAACTGGAGATGTAGGTATCTGAATGTCCTCTCAGAGTACCAGTACACACTGAGGGATGGAGCCCTCCTGTGAGTGGGTGAAGAGACCTGGGAAGTCTGATCAACAGTACTGCAAATTTACCATTGCAAATGCAAAGCTATTATTGCAGAACTTGGCAGCTCTTTTGGAGGTTCCGCCTCATAGCACAGGGTGAACCCAACATTCTAATCAGGTCTACTAAGAGGATGGTATAGGAAGAAAGTGCAGGGTTAGGATCTTATTGGCTGCTGACATCCCTAGCTGTTTTTCATTTTTCAGATGGTGTCTGGAAATGGCTTTGTCACGTCCTGTGACAGCCCTGGATAATGAGAGATTCACTGTACAGTCAGTAATGCTGAAGTATGCTGTCCCCATTGTACTGGTAGGTTTCATTTCAAGCATCTATTGTTGAGTATAGTTATATTTTGTCAATAAAGGTGAAGAATTTTCAGCCATCAACAAGAAATTGTGGTCAGGCACTAACTCATGCAACTGACTGTCTGTACATTGGATAGGTTAGTGGAGTGAAGATGGTGAGCCATCACCTTGATGAATAAGAGTGGAGAGAGGCAATGCAGCAGCAAAACAACTATATCTTCTAAACTTTCTCAGGGCTGGGAAAGTTTAAAGGGAGTGAAAAAGCTTTCTCTGCAAGCACTGGTAGCTTGCTGACAGTGTCCCCTCTGTTTGAATGGCAGGCTGGCTTCTTGATCACCAATGCTGTGCGCTTCATTTTTCAAGCTCCTGGAATTGCTTCTTGGCAGTACACTCTTCTTCAATTACAGGTAAAGGAGTGCTATGAGCTCTACTACACTTCTTCCCAAAGCACCACTGTGGCTAGTTCCCTCCATCAGCAACTTGCTCCATCCTATGAGAGCATCCTATGCATGTCCTTCCTTGTGCATGCTGGGTCCAGATGAACTCTCCGTGCAGCAGGACAATAATTCCACCCCTGCCATTTGACCTAGGCGGCCCTTGAAGTTGTTTGCTCTACACGTATATAAATTGTGTGTGTGTGTGTGTGTGTGTGTGT